GGGAATTCTGGGAATTGAAGTCCACATATCTTAAAGTGGCCAAGGTTGACAAACGCTGCCCTAGAAAAATCAGAATTCTCCTCCAACAAGGAGTGTGGTTACCGCTTGAATGTTTATGGCCTCTGACGCTTTTGATAGCTCGTTGGCACCCTCTGTCCGTGCAACGCCTGCAAGTCCTCCATGAGGCTTTTGGCCACGAAAAAGCAGGAAGGTGGCCGAGAAGAGGGGGGGGGGTTGAAAAAGGGAAGAGGATGCGCCGATTTTAGCCCAAAAGAAAGTCCCTCTCAAGAGAGGTTTGCAAACTGAGTTGCAGGATCGCTTCTTTTCTCAGAAGGCAGAAAAGGAACTCTGCGCATGGCCCGCAGGGGCCGCGTCAGTGCCAGCAGGCCCCCGGCCCGCACTTACCGCTCCCTGGTACATATCGATCTCGCGATCCGTGAAGTACGGCAGCTGCTTGAAGGGGTTCACGGAAATCAAGACCGGGCCGATGTACGTCTTTCCGGTTCCGAGTTAAGGGGTGCCACGGAAAGGCGGCCGGAGCTGCCTTGAGGTCAGCGGCTGTGGGCCGCCGAGGGGCCAGCCCCTCACTTCCCGCAGCACCCCTTCCCCTGGGCTTCCTGCCAGAGATAAGACTCCTCCTGGGCATGGAGGCTCTACCGCGCCACCCCGAGGGGTGCCCAACGGCCAATTCCCTGGGGACCCCCCTCCTCCATCCCCACCGCCCTGGGCGCAGGAAGGGATACAAAGATGTAGTCGTCCATGAACCTCTTGCGGAGGTTCTCCACGATGGCGTCCTCGTGGATCTTGGAGAGCAGGACCATGTCGTCCACCCCGCTCTGCTTGACGTTTTGCATCTGCCAGTGGTATCGCTGTTTGCTGCCCTGAAAAGCAAGAACGAATCATGGAGGGGGGGTCCTCGCCTTCCCCCTGTCTAGACCAGTGTTTCCTAACCTTGGCCACTTGAAGAGGGGTGGACTTCAACTCCCAGAATTCCCCAGCCAGCCATGCTGGCTGGGGAATTCTGGGAGTTGAAGTCCACCCCTCTTCAAGTGGGCAAGGTTGGGAAATATTGATCTAGACAGAACTGGGCAACCCCTTGAAAGCCGAGGAAAGAAATGGCCGAACTCCAAGAAAAATTTAAAAAGTGAAGGGTGCTGGTACTTTAAGCCCACAGCTGGACGGTCCTTGCAAGTCACATCTGTCTTCCGATCTTCGGGGGGGCAAGGGGTACAGACTCCAAGCCTACCGCTAACATTTTTCCCAGCCTCCAGATGGGACGGAGGGGCCAGCGCCAGCGGTCGGCAGCCTCCAAACCTTCCAGCACCCTGCCGTTCCAAAAACCTGTTTAGCCACGTTTAGCGATAAATTACGGCCAAAGCCGCCAGCAAAACAAACAAACCACTTTCGCCTTAGCCCCAAAAAAGAACAGGTTGCCATCGCAAGGAACAGCTTCCAGGAAATGTTGGGTTTCAGCGGAGGAGCTGGCTAAAAATACTTGCCATTCATTAGCATGGCAGGGCTGAGATCTGGAGGCTTTGGCTGAGCCCGCCGGACGGGCGAAAAGCTCCAGGGGGAGGGCTGGGGGGGGGCTCGGAGTTCGCAGAGTTTGATTTCTTACTGGCCTTTCAGCCATTTTTGCAGTGGGGCTTGTGGGTGGGGCTGGGGGTGAGTTTGGGGATTCTGGGCTGGCCCCGTTACGCTCCCCGTCGCCCCACGTTCAGAGACGGGCGATCTCTCGCGCACCACAAAACCTGGGTGGCCTTTCGGGGCACATCCCCCCCCACACCAACTTTCCCAAAGACGGTTGCTAAGTTTTGTTCTAGCCTAGCCAGCAAAGACAATGCCGGTCCGGAGTTGCCAAGCGACCAGCCGGGAGGAAGCCGGGCGCTTGGACGACGGCAGGCCAATTGACTGTTCGGTGCCCGGAATGGAGAGAGATTGTGCCAAAGAGAGGGGCACCCTCATCCCCCCACAATGTCTAATGTGCCACGAGCTCAGGAGCAGAGTTCGAATTCCACCGTTCGGCAATGGAAGCACGCCTGGGTTGGTGGGGGGACGGGTGCCTGGCCCACCCAACCAAATCGGGGAGCTACCCCGGGTTGAATCCAGCCCCAACAAAAGGACAGTGGAACACGTCCCACTCTCTCCCCCTTCGGCCACCTTAAAGACAGCGACGCCCTGGCCCCCTTGGATGGTCTCTGGGGCTGCGTTCACACAGCACACCTAACTGGGTCCAGGGAAGCCGAGCCGGGTGCATTCACACAGCCTCCCAAGCTCAGCTGGGGCTATTCCGGGTCAGGGTGCCTTGTGGGAAGGGAAACTTTTGAGCATGGTCACGGCCAGCCTAGCAAAGGGGTGAAAGTGTCAAAGAGGGTAAATCTGCTGTGCGAAGCTCGCTGGAGCCGGTGAAAGATACGCAGCCCTTCCTCGGTTTTCTGCATGTCTCTTTTTCCTTCCTTTTCTTACGCTCCTTAGTTTCTTTGCTCCAGGCTGGGGATGAGTTGTCTGCGCCTTTGCACAACCCGGGCGGGGATGTTGTTCGTAGCGCTTGGGAAACTGGCTTCTCCTGCATTCATTTGGGTTGGGTTCTCCCTGGCTGGATGTCAACGGTGGCGAGAGGGAGGAGGAAGAGGAGGAGACCACAGAAAACCTTTCTCCCCACCACCACCCACCCCAAAAAGCCCACAGAAGCAGCAGCTCCCAGCGGGGAAGCGTGCGACGTCAGTTCACTTGACAAACCTAAATGCTTTGCAGCAAACAAGGTTGCCGTGTCCGTTCTCCACATTCCAGGCCGCGGAAAAGAATGCAAAATACTTGTTAGTATTTGCAGGGCTAACAAGACCCCACCCTGCGCCACTCTGCGGTGAGGACTGTACGCCCAACAAACCTGCCTGGCTTAAATGTGCCACGCAGGAATGAGGGGGGGATCCCCTTGGCTTCCCCTACCCCCCAGGGCAATGCAGAACGTGGGGCTTCTCTGGGTCCGGAGTTTGGGAGCCAACGACTCAAACTTTTCAGCACACCGACAGCCACCCTTGCAGGCCAGGTAGAAATTCTGCTCTCAGGCCTGATTTGCCTTTAGGGAAGAAAGAGCAGAAAACCCCTCTCTGGTTTCCAAGCCAAAATTCCGCAGAAGTGGATAATCTTAGATACAGGAGGGAATATATTGCAAGTATGTCCAGGAAGCAGAGTTGCATAAAGCAGGAGGAGGAGGAGGAGGAGGAGGAGGAGGAGGACTTAACTATTGGAATACAAAGATTATAGCATGAACCAGCAAAAGTTTTCCCCATAGTCACAGCAGAATTGTCAAAACAGCTGACAAAATTACTCAACCTCGCCATATTCGGCTTATAAAAAAACCCCTTTGCTTGGAACGACATGACATGCATATTACAATGATATTTTGGCACTCCTTAGGCTTTGAGAACGAAGCTTGAACTTGATCTTAAACCACCAGTATTTGCTGAATGATCATCGTAATAATGGCATCTGGTAGCAGAAAGACGGCCAGATGAAACGCACAGTGGATTTTTAACCACGAGCAACCGAAAGACAAGACTGCGGGCTTCCTGGTGGGATCCTTGGGACCTGGGCTCCAAATGAACCGAGTCGGCTTTCGAGGAAGAGGCAGCGACGGGAATAACGTGACTGCAAAAATTGGATGGGCTGGGCAAACCCAGCGGCTGGGTCCGCCCGTCCCACCGCAGTGAAGAAGCCACGTGTGAACCCTTGCAGGCGTGCAAGCGCACACCCGCTGCCTGGCTGCAGGCCCGTGGGCGAGGCCTCGCCCTTCTGAATCAGACTGGAGGCGGCTGCTCCAGTTGTCCCCAACTGGAGGGCCCTGAAGAAACCGGGAAGGCAGGCGCTTTGCGTGGTGAGTCAGGCCGTGGGCAGGCATTCCAGGCCATCTCAGCCTCGTGCCTCATCCTGTATAATTTCGTCCAACCTGGCTGGACAGGGTGGCGCGTCACCTCCCGCGCATGCGCCCTCCGCTGGTGTCAAACTCCCGGCAGACCAAGCAGGTAAACATTAGCTAAGCAGGGCAGAGGGAAAATGGCTTTTGCTTCGCGCCAGAGGACGGGGCAGGAAGCAAGAGGAGAGCCTCTTCCTTAGGGAGTCACGGCACCAATTTTCCCAGCCAGACACCTTCCGCCAGGTATCCCATCGCGCCCCCCCACCAGGATTCAGGGACCCAAAGCAGAAAAATCCAAATCTTCTGGAAATAAGTTTTGGGGGGGGGGGGAAATAATCTGGAGAAAAAAAAGGTTGCCATGTTTCCTCTGGTACATGTTTTCTGTCCCCAAAATATTTGCAGACTGATTGAAACAATCCTTTCCCCCAGCGTCAGCCTCCACATCTCATTGCACAGAGCCTAGTAAAGGAAGGCGCTTTGCACATGCTCGGGGTACTTTATTGGTCCAATTCCCAGAATTCCCGTAAAGCAAGAGCGGGGCTCCTGTTGTGGAGTGAGCCAGACAGACTCAGAAGTGGGGAAAACTCGGCCTCCCCCCCCCCCCCGTCACTCATTCATCAGACAAGACCTTCCCTACATTTGCTCCATTTCTCTTGAATGATGAAACTGGAGATTCTGCGCTCCACATTGCAGAGATTTGGGCCCCGAGGGGGTAAAATGTCTCCGATCCAAGATGGAAGTTGAGTGCCCTCTCCAGAAGTTTGGGACTTCAAATCCCATCAGTCTGTGCCAGCATAATCAATGGCACAGGACCACGGGGACTTTGCCCCAAATACCGAGTATCGAAAGAGCTGATCGATCGGCTCTAGTTGAAGATGCAACTTTCTCCTCTCGGATGAATCCCCTTCCTTCGCTGCAAGGGGGGTGGGGGGCGCAGTACTACAGACCTTAACTTCAGAAGGGCTCTGGGCAAAGCCCGGCGAGCTTTTCTCGTAAGCCGCTGCAAGCAAGAGGGGCCGAGAGAGGCTCTCAGCGGGATTCTGGCCCTGCGCGGGGTGGGCTGGATGGCCTCAAGGGCCCCTCTGCGACCCCAAAGCGCCCGCCCCGCGG